CCCCAAAACCCCAAAACCCCAAAACCCCAAGATAGAGCTTTCTGTTGAAAAAGAGTTTAGAGGTTTACGAAAAAGTGCCCTGCGCCATTTTGATATAAACGTCACTAATGTTTTGCTTCGTATCAGCTCATTCCTTTAGCTTCCAGGGCTTCCTTGCTGCGTTCATGAAGCCATGGAGGCAATATCTGTACTCACAGATTTTAGTGGGGACTCCTAGTTGGAGAAGTCTTGCCGCAAATCTGATAGCATCATCTCTTAAAGGATCAAGGCCACCAACATAAATCTGACAAATAGGGAATTCCTTCAGGATTTCATCAGAGAGAAATTTTGGAGACAATAGAGGATGATTCGTGTTCTCAAAGTCGCTTGGAATATAGTTCTCCTGCACTTGTCTTAATAAAGATGCGTTCAACCCAAGATCTTCTAAGGATAGGAGGAGAGATGGAGCAAAGGAGTTTAGTGTGCAACTCATAACCGGATAAATTAACATCAAGCCATCTGGTTTTCTGACATTTTTCTGGATTCAGAGAGTATTTACACCTAAAGCAAGATTTGCTCCAGCTGAATGCCCTCCGATTATGATCTTATTGAATTTTATCTTCAGATATTTTTCAGAATTTTTGAGCAACCATAAATATGCTTGCCAACAATCATTCAGAGCTGAAGGAAACTTATGAGATGGAGCCAATCTATAGTCTAGACTGACAATTGGATACTCTGTCTTAGTCGCAAAATATTGAGAGTACTTCAGTTGCTTCTTTGTTGATCCGAACATGAAAGCTCCACCATGAAAATCAAGAATGAGTGCTTCAACCTCAATGACATCACTTCCTATTTTTGGATTTTTCTGATTTTTGTATAATTCGTAGTCGAAATCTGCTACGATTCTTGCTCTAATATATTCAGTATCATCATATTCTTCAAAATTAGTCTCAATCGGCCAGTCCTCATCTGTAGTATAGGATTTAGGCTGGCTGGTGTCTTCCATAGTTTCAATAGTTATCAATTCATCTTGTTTTATAGGAATATAAAACATTTCATGAACTTCTACATCTATTTTCTGGGCATTTGCGGCTTTGAGGGCTTGTTGCTTCTTATATCTAACTCCTTCTTGGAATGCTCTCTCATTTGGCATTGTTATGGTAAACATTCCTTGCTCTCTTCCTGTTTCCTGGGCAAGCTTATAGTACATTCCATACCAGAGACCCGTCCATATTTTACAGAACTTAGATGGCTTCATGATAGCTTTGGATGCCACTCCCATCAAATACTTATTTCTGCTCAATGCTGCATTGAGACATTCTACGTGATCTTCTTTATCGGAAGGCTCATGATACTCCATAGAGTCTATTAGCATCTCTCTTTCTTTAGATTCTTCACTTTTCTGATAAAGCAAGTCATCCGGATCATCTAGTGAGGCAGCATACATCATGATGAATCATTTAGAGAGCATGACTGCATGATAGAGTAGCTTTTTGAGTAAACTCTCATCGGCAGGAGAATCCTCGACATTATCTAAGGCTTGCTCCACTCTTGCGTATAACCTTTTGGCAACTGAACATACAAGATATACTGAAGGAGTGCAAATTTTAGTTTTTCCTACAAGGAATTTTTGGACAACTTCAGTGCTGACATGAATATCTTCTCCATGTATTTTCTCAAATTCTTCTAAAAGTTGATCCTTGGACTGAAGCTCTCCTTCATAGCCAAGTTTAGTGATAATCTCTTGTTGAATTACTTTATCAGGGTCAATTCTCTCCATATTTGTGAAGAGGTTTACAAAGGAAGTGATTATCATTACTTCTAGGCCGAGCAGAGCAAAGCTCAGCTCTTCGATTTCTTTCCAAAATTCATTATGTATTGGACAGTCTTCTCAAAGAAAAGTAAGGACCTTCTTCAGGGACTTTACTTTGTGGCATAAATCCTCTAGGATCTCTCTTAAATCTTCATCTGAATGGGTGTGTGTGTAGACGTGAGGGTCGATCAAGCTAGAAAGGTTAGAATTAATCGCTTTTAGTCAATCTTACTATTCAGAAAAGTGTTTGCTCGGCTCTTGGTTCATGAAAATCTTCGTTTTCTGATCAAAATCTCTAACAAAGAAAGAAGCTGGGGCTATTTTTGACATTTTATTATATTTATTTAATCTTGGGTTTGAATTAAGGGGTTTTGGGGTTTTGGGGTTTTGGGGGTTTTGGGGTTTTGGGG